TGTCTGTGTCCATGGGTTATGCCAATCTGCACATATGTTCTTTCTCATTCTAATGCCTGATGAATCTACTATTTCCTACACAGTCAAAAAGAATGGCAAACAGTCTCTAGGGTATTTCATAAATGTTTTTAAAAATTGATTTTAAGATATTTTATCCCTGGCCTTCCCGCTGCAGTTTGACAGGGAGGGTTGGCGGGCAGGAGGGAGGGGGGTAAGAGATCAACTGAAGGACTTGTATGCATGCATATAAGCATAACCAATGGGCATAAGACACTGGGGGGTAGGGGAGGCCAGGGGATTGTCAAGGGCGGGGGGAAAAAAAGGACACATATGTAATACCCTTTGTAATACTTTAAGCAATAAAAAAATTAATTAAAAAAAAGATATTTTATCCATAAAATAGAGTGAGAGATGGAGAAGGGGGAAGGAAGGAAGAAACTTTTGCTTCTTCCTTTGGCAAATGGAAAATGGGAAGATAATACTGGCTGGAACAATATCGACTAGAAAGCGAGTGCTAGGGGATAAGTCTGGGAAATGACCTGGGTTGGATTTATGCAAAAATAAATCTGGATGTTGATCAGTAGGAAACAAAGAACTATTAAAGCTTTTGAGCAAGGAGCTGAAGCTATTTAAGGAAACTATTTAAGAAGTTTACATTTTAATCTATCTGTTACCTGTTAGATAGTTGAAACGTTTGTGAGGAAGCTTAAAACAGTAGCTACATGATATCACCTACCTCTAAAAAGTTAAGGAACATATCCACTGTCTTAAAATAAAGAAGGCAAGAATCTAGTCCTCTTAATATTCGTATGTATTTGGCCAGACATACAAAAAGTATATCTAGAAGCAAAAAAAAAAAAAAATTAAAAATTAAAAAATGAAACCATAAACATTGTTCTTCTTAGGGAAAAAAAAAACCTGTGGAGTTATCTATCTATACTAATAATAGAGGAATATGCAAATTGTCCAGGACACTATCACAGTGGAGTAACGACTGAACAGCAGGCTGCGTGGGGCAACAAGGCCAGCAGTGAGGTTACCAGGCCAGCAGGGGGCATTTTCAGGCGACCAGGCTAGCAGGGGGGCAGTTGGGGGTGACCAGGCCGGTGGGGGGGGTAGTTAGTGACGACCAGGCCAGTGGGGGCGGGGGGTGTAGTTAGCAGCGATCAGGCCGGCAGGCACAGCCAGTTTAGGGTGATCAGGCTGGAAGAAGGGGGAAAGTTAGTGGCAATCAGGCGGGCGGGCGGGTGAGCGGTTAGGAGCCAGCAGCCCCAGATTGTGAGAGGGAGGTCCGGCTGCCGGTTTAGCCTGATCCTTGGTATAGGGCCTAAACCACCAGCAGGACATCCCCCGAGGGGTCCCAGATTGGAGAGGGTGCAGGCTGGGCTGAGTCCCCCCCCTCCCCCCCGTGCAAGAATTTCATGCTCTGGGCCTCTAGTTTGGAATGAAAGGGAAACCTTTTCTCATTCAAAAATAAAATAAACAAAAATATATACTAGTTACAAACAGGCTTTATTGCAGGAACTCAAGGACAGTTGAACATTAGAATGTCCATTAATATAATTCTTCAAGTTGAAAAGTACAAAATCTATGTAACCTTGCAAGATAACAAAAAATATACTTCAAAATATATTTCTGATATAAAGTCTAATTAACTAAATATAACATATCTAATCCTGTTACAAGATTAAGAATATCTTTTCAAAAACATCAGCAAATGTTATACCCAATAGACAAAAACAAATGGCATTTATTTTAAAAGTAAAATTTATTGTGAAAAGTAAAATCTTTTATAGGAAATCTAAAATAAAGAGGAAATGTATATTTTACACATTCATAGGAATTAATGTTAATTAATATTAATGGAAAAATGTGGATTATAAAGTTTGTACTGGTGGAAAGTATTTTTTAAATTTAATACAACACTAACTAGAAAAGAAAGACTTTTCTTTTATACAGCCTTTGAAAAAATATAATCTAGAGAGGTAGTATTTTTTCCTTTCTATCTGAAATTCTAAGAATTATCCTTTTTATATATAGCATTCATAAATGTATCATAAATTCATGATATATATTATTTGGATTTTTCACTGTGTTACATGCACATTGATGGGGCAAATGAAATTACTGACATCTTAACACAAGTAAAATTGATGACATGGAAATGTGCTAGTAGTCATTGTATGAACTTATCACTACCACATATTTGCAAAAGAAAGAAAAAGTTGAGTTAAGAACATCCATGATGAATAAAATAAAATTATTAAATTTTGACCCCTGTGTATACATCTTTTTAATATTCTGTGTGATGAAATAGGAAGCACACATAAAGGACATCTGTGGTATACTAAGTATGATGGTTGTCTCAAGGAAAACAATTGTTAATTTTTACATTTGTTCTTACATGAACTCAGTAATATTCCTTTACTGAGTATGTATGTGTGCTGAGCTCTGTGTTAGAAGGTTAGGTAAAAGCCAGATAGAACACAAGGGCTCTTCTCTGGAACATTTAGCCCAGTAGGGAGAGGAGGCAACCCCAAGTGGACTGCACTGTGATAGGTGCCAAGACAAAAATAAATACATTGTACAGTTGTTAGAAATGGAGGGTAAGGACAGCTCTAGAAGTCCTGAGATGCTTAAAATAGAAGAAGCCACTTGAACAGTGGAAACTGAGCAATCATCAGTGGTAACAGTAAACCCTAAAACAAGTCAAAGACTTGTCATCTCAGTGAAATTCCCGGGGTTTCAATGGTCCAAAGAATATTGAGATGTCCCCTTCAAGGTGAAAGACATGTAGCTGCACCTCACACCACCTACTACAGAAAAAGAGGCACACACAGGTTAGGCCCTTTTGGATTTTAAAGCAACAGACACTACATGTGGGTGGGTGTTGCTTTGACCTATTTACAGAGTCACCTATAGAGCTGCCAGTTTTGAATGGGGATGAGAGCAAGAGGAGACGCAACAAGTTTGGACTTCAGTGCAATATACTTTGCCACTTTGGTCTTATCAATCAGCAAATCCTACACTGATACTTGATTTTCCATAGTAAATAGGGTGAAGAATGTGGAAAACACCAATAATTGACTCACAGCAGTGTCCTCTAGTATTTAGAGGAATTTATACCCATTTCTTCAAATAACTATTCTTTGAGAAATAGCTTCTAGCTTGCTAATTGTCTTCGGTGAATTATTTCTCGCTTAGAAAACAGAGGTGATCATGAAGGCTGAACTTCTATCATGAACTTAGGATTGTCTGACCTACTTAGCCATAATGTTGGTCATGCCCAGCAGCAACCTATCATCAAGTGGAAATGGTACATAAGAGATTAGGCTCAGGCAGTCCCAGAAAGTACAGGTAAGTCACATGAGTAGGTACCTCAGATGCCTTTGACACCAGCTTCTCTTGTATTGTCTGCTTTCCTTTAATCCTTGCCTACACCCTCCTAAGGAGTTCCTTACCATCACTTAACTAAGGAAGAAAACAATAAAGCCTACTGTACATATGGTCTGGCACATTTACTGAAACAACACAAAACTAACACCCATAGCCCCACTAAAAGACATTGGTGAAGGAAATTGCCCCCCCCCCCAAAAAAAAAAATATCAGGGGATACACTGTTATCTACATTATTTAGAGAGATGGCCAGAAGTATTGCTCTACATTAATTTATGAGCAGCTACTAATGATTTTACTGGGTAGTAAGAGACTTGAAAAGAACAGGACTTGAAGATTAATGACAAGGAAATTTAGGGAAGAGTTTTCTGGGCACAGACTATAAAGATAATGAATGCTTCGTGTGAATGCCGACCAGGGGAAGACCACTGAAGTGGAAGCTCTTAATAATGGACAATGTGATACCCTCTGTGGATATGTAAGCAGCTTTCTCCAGTCACCCCAGTGCTTGCTCAATGATCCCATGAACAAAGTGGCCTTTTTAGAAGGGATGGAAGTTATGCATGAACTCAAAAGCATTGATTTCCCCTTATCAAGTCTGACCTCGCTAATACTACTTCTGAGTGCCTAATCCGTCAACTATAGAAACTAATGCTGAGCCCCTGATATGGGCACATTCCTTAGAGGACCTTCCCAGACACCTGATGATATGCTGATTACATCAGACATCTTCCATGATGGAGATGGCTGAAATTTGTCCTTACTGAAATAGACACATACACTTGTGTATGGATTTGTCTTCCTTGTTTCACGAGCACCCCAAGACACTTCAGCAGCACCCCTTTACCAGCTTCCTGTAAATTCTACTGGAACCCTGATAGGTGTTTCCCTGTTTTCCAGCCTTTCCCTCTGGCACCTCAGCCAACTTCTCACCACCCAGCAGGCTAGCGCCACACACTCCCCAGAGAGGTCTGAAGCGTTGGTAGGAGAGGAGGGCACATATTTCAATGTGTTATTACTTTGGAACTTTGGCTCAGTCCTAGAGATGAGAGTTTCTCCCTACATAAGCTATTCGCATATTCTTTAGAGTTATTTTTTAACTCAGTAATTAGTTCTCTATTATTAGTTTTTAAGTGTGTATATTAAAGTTTCTTTGTTAAATTACTGTATATTTCTCCTTATTGGACCCCAATTGATGCAGTAGGAGTCGGGGGGGGGGGGGGGAGACATTAGATGCAGAAAGACCAGCAATTGCATGTCATGTAACAGTATCATACTTTTAAGGAACTGTGCTTAGTTAGGTATGTGGTGACAAACACATGTGAGGGTGGATGGGGTGGCAGAGGAGGTGAAGAGCTGGGACTCAAACCTGGGGAGTCCCTCTGGGCAAGAAAAAAAATGCTTTTTTTATGCTGTGCTATATTGTATTTTATTTCAAAGGTATCTTTCCAGGTACTACTAAACAGAATAAATACAGTTACTATCTTATAAAGTAATGTAGACAGAGTAGGTAATGAGAATTTGCTTGGACAAATTTTTGAGGTTGATCTAGCTAATTGACAACTGAGGATATTGTGTGTAAGAGGTAAACTCAATGCCAGTCTCTAGGGAGAGACTGCCCCACTGTGGCCATAGAGAGAACTTACAATGAAACATGTGCTGTAACTCCCACGGGGTTTGTGATCTACTTCCTTTGCAAAACCAGCTACTGTGTCACTCACGGCACAGTAATACACGGCTGAGTCTTCCTCTTGCGCTGATGGCTTCTTCAGATGGAAGGACGCCTCACTCTTGTCAAGGACAGCCGTGAAACCTTTGGCGCTCTCCCCTGAGAAGTGTTTCAGGAGTAACCGCAGGCTTTGTCTGGGATACTGGACATACCAGAAAAGTACAGGGCTCCCAGAATACACGTAGTTGCACTTCACCTGCACTGAGGCTCCTTCAAGGACAGAGATGATGTCCTCGGGCTGAGTCACTGTCTGGGCTCTTATTCCTCCTGTAACACCAATTCTAGGTCAGGAATCATCTTAAAGACAGAGGAGAATACTTCTTTAAACTGGTCCTAAATCAGAAGACCACAGAAAGAGAGAATTAAGAGAGACTTTACTCACGGAGTGTGACTATGATCACAAGCACGGAAGTGAGGATGGGCTTCATGTCCGAGCTGTGAGAAACAAGAGGCTCTTTTCCAGAGGACTTTTCTGGAGACAATTCAGCCACATGGACACTGGCAGAGCAGTGAGTGAGTTTACCCAGCATGTTAAGCAAAAGCATTTCCTCCAAGGGCTGGTTGCTTTCAGGCTTTCTACTAAATTCAGTTTGTGTCATTTCGCCCTCTAGAGGCTAAATGTGATATAGCAGATAATTTTGGGCTTCAGGAAGCTTTAAACTCTAAACGGAATGGAGAAGGAATTCCTCCACAGTTAATAAGACAAAGGGGAAAGCTATGTTAGATTTAAAAGCATATTACTAAAAAGGTCCAAATGGAGGCGTCAATGGAACAGAATAGAAAGTCCAAACTACAAATTACTAATGGAAATTTAGTTATAACAAAATGGGGGAAAGAAGGCATTCTAGTATTTAATAAGATACCTTCATGAATGGAGAATCTTTTAGAGATTAACAAATAAAATTTGGATGCTTACCTTAATATCTGTTACAAAATAAATTCCTAATGAAGACAATATTTAATATTTTTAAACAAAATAAAATATCTTTTTAAAATAAATTTAGGATGGTCATGGATTTTTTTTTTAAAAAAAGTAATAGAAAGCATACAGGGAAATATCAGACTTCATAGAAATTTATACAGGTATGTTAATGAAATGTTTAAATGTTACCAGGTCAAATTATCTTTCCATCTATCATCATTGATTCTGAGTGGCCCTTTAGAAATTTAGTTCTGTAAGTTAAAAAAAAAAATAGGCCATAAACAAAGGAACAATCATTTAGCCTGGAAAGAAGGCAATTCTAGAGAGATGGCCAATTGAAAATATCCCTGATCCCCTGTGCTTAGCCAAGGAGCTTCTGCAGCGACCAGCCAAGCTATGGTGAGAGAACTCAAGCACCATATGGCATTGGGGCTCATATGTGAATCTGGAGTCAGGTAGCAGGAAACTTCAGAATGAAGAGCAGAAAACTGTGGGTCTTGGAGAGAGCTTGGTCTGTAGAGATCAATGCACCTAGAAGAAGGAAACATTTTCTTGAGAAAGCCTCTCCTCTAGTCCCCAAATTGCTGAGATGAAAGTAACAGGTAGGCTGAGCCCCATCTGTCCTTAATGAAGAAGAGGACAAGGGGATCAGAGAGCCAAGAAATCTCCTTCCAGTTTTTCCACAGGGACTGACATTGCTATTGGTGTCAATGCCCTTCTGGCTGGTACACTGCTGATCACAGACACAGAAACTCCTAGGTGAGACTTGACTAGGGGTGGTGAACACAAATACAGTGGACAGGTGAAGTGATGCAGAATGTGCACCTGACACCTGCATAATTTTGTTAACCAATGTCATCCAAGTACATTCAATGAAAAGAAAAAAAAAATAAACCTCTAGGCCAGCCGTGGGCAAACTACGGCCCGCGGGCCGGTTTGAAATGGATAAAACTAAAAAAAAAAAGACCGTACCCTTTTATGTAATGATGTTTACTTTGAATTTATATTAGTTCACACAAACACTCCATCCATGCTTTTGTTCCGGCCCTCCGGTCCAGTTTAAGAACCCATTGTGGCCCTCGAGTCAAAAAGTTTGCCCACCCCTGCTCTAGGCTTTGCACCCTCACAGGATTGCCTCCAATTAAAGTGCCCAGTAATCAGGAGGGGAGTAAAGATAAGGAAAGGAAATCTCAGAAAGAAACGAGGGCCTCGTCTGAGTCAAGAATAGTCTGAAAAAATGGTCAGTGGTCTAATTTCTTTAACCAATAATCAGGACACATAGTTTCAAAAGTGATTTAGAATTAATTTACAAGAAAACTCTCACAAAGAAAAAATATCTCATTGGGTATACTGTTTATTTATTTAATCCTCTTAATGGAATAAATACAATTACCAGTAAATGAAATTAAGAGAATTCTGTAAACCTCAGACTTATGGTTGTCATGAACAAACACAATGTCTCCAACAAGACTTTAGTGATAGAGAAATAGGACGTGTATATGATGACCACCCTGACCTCATTTCTATCTCCCTTCTATTCAACACTTTCCCCATATACCCTGCAGGTACACCTGGCTGATTCTGCTCTCTGACTATGAAGTATAGGCCACATTTTGAAATTGAAGAAACCGTTTCCAATTTCTTTCTTTTCATCTCTCTTTTTTTTTTCACTTTCCTCCTCTCTCTCTACATATGCTCATTTTCTCCCATTTCATCTTCTCATTTTCTTTTCCCCAGCTGGCTTCGCCTGGGCCCCAGCTTCGTCAGGAAGGATGTCTGGAATGACATCTGGTCTAATTAGCATATTATCCTTTTATTAGTATAGATATAGATTACCTTTACTCCTTTCCTGTTAAATAATAACCAGATTATTACAATGATAATCCACAACCAAGGCTCGATGGTGCAGGGGCCACAATTAGCACTGCCTTCTAGCCCCTCATGGCTGCTAAGGAGACTGGGGCCTATATTAAGCTTCCCTATATTTCCTTGGGCTTGGGAGAGGGCAGGCTTTCTTTCAAACTATCCAATCTCTCCTGACTTTTTGTCCTAGCCAATCTTTTCCCCAGATTTGTCTCCTCCCCTTTATGGTCACCATTTTAGCCCCCACTGCTCATGCACTCAGTAAAGGAATTTCCCCCTCACAAGTTCTCCCTCCCCTCTTTGATCTGGAGAAACTGGTTGGCTGTTCCCTGGGGGATTGGAAAACCTGTCTTTCCTGCCCTTTCAGATGTCAATCCCTTTGGCAGAGCCATTCTGGTTATTCCTGGAGTATCTGTGAAACTGTAGTTTCCTGACTTAATCCGGCATTCAGTCAGCACCACTCACTGAGAGTACCACATTCAACAAGATGCCCGAAAGATAGGTGAAGGACAGGGAAGGGGGAGCCGGAGAGGAAACCAATAAGAATCCTCTCTCTAGAAAATGTGGCCTAAGTAAATGAAAGGACCATAAAAGGTATAATGAAAGCCTGTCAGAAAAACTCCAAACTAAGACCAAAAAGGGAACTAAAGGAAAACCGGGAAAGGTAACACATCAAGATCTAGAAACTTAAGGAATCAGCAGCAGCCAAAGAAACTAAAAGTGAGGACAGATGAGTCTTTGATGCAACAAGAGAAGAAAAAACCAAACCTGTATATCTTTGAACATAGACCCTCTATGCTCTTTTGTTCACTTCATAGAGCTATTCTTATAAACTATTTTAAGTGCATGCTTAGTAGTTCTTGACACATATTTATAATAAGGCAGTAATCCTACTTCATCTCATGTTTTAAAATTGGATTTAGGTAATTGTAAAAATTTAAAAAGTAAAATCATTCACTTCATAATTTCTGCCACTAGATATTATGAAATGTTGAATTAAGGGAGACTTAAATTCTGTGTGGGTGTAATTTTTATAATATTTGGAGGAGGCAGGTTTTTTTATCCTATGATATGAATCAAATCACAAATAACAATTTGGAATATATATAATGTATATAAAGTATATTTTAAAAGTTGGCTTTTTAGTACAATTGTTTCAGAGTAAATAAAAATGTTCCTTGATCTTGAATATCCTTATTAGAATTAAGGTAATCTTTGCTATTGTGAAGTTCTGTAGTATAGGTTATATTTTCCTATAAACTTTGTTAATTTGGTTTGAAAGACTGAAAATTTTGTCGAGTGTGTAATTTTTATCATGAATTAGTGTGACTTACAAAATACCTGAGAGTTTTTTAGTAATTTAATCTGTTATACTTGATATATTTTTATGGGTTACTAGCCTCAAATTTTTAATTTTGAGCCCAGCCGGTGTTGCTCAATGGTGGAGTGTCAACCTATGAACCAGGAGGTCAAGGTTTGATTCCTAATCAGGGCACATGCCTTGTTGCAGGCTCAACACCAATAGGGGCATCAGGAGGCAGCTGATCAATGATTCTCATCATTGATGTTTTGCTCTCTCTCTCCCTCTCCCTTCCTCTCTGAAATCAATAAAATTCTATTTTAAAAATTTTATTTTGGAAATCACTGGAATAAATTTCAAAAAACAATTACAAGTGGGTGGCTTTAGATTTTCAATATGTGTTGCATTAAGAATTACGTTCATTGTAGTTCTGATTTCATGTATGGAGAACTGTACACGTAAGACCTATATAACCTTATTAACCATTGTCACCCCAATAAATTTAATAAAAGTAAAAAGTAGCTTGGCCAGTGTTGTTCAGTGGTCATGGTTCAATTCCCAGGCAGGGTACATGCATGGGTTAGGAGCTTGATCCCCAGTAGGGGAAGTGCAGGAGGCAGCCAATTGATGATGTTTCTCTCTTATTGATGTTTCTATCTCTCTATCATCTCCCTTTCTCTCTCTCTAAAAAATATAAATCAATACATTTTAAAATAATAATAAAATAAAATAAATATAGAAATAAAATAAAATTTTCTCATTAAAAATAATTGTGTTCAATTGGTTTTGTGTAATACAAGATTAGAAATCAAGGTATTATAATGTCAAATTTACTTTAAAACATATAAACATTGCACAGTGAGGTATTATGTATGTGCTAGAAGTTAAGCTTCAAATCTAGGTTGAGAATCTATACTGCACTAATTAAGAATTTATGCTGTATAGGTTGCCCTAATTGAGAATTTATTCAGAACAGCTTGTCAGCTAACATCATAATCAAGTACTTCCAATTCCTACATATTGATTAACACCTGAGTCAGTGATAATTAAGAATAATAAATGCTAGAAATGTGGTGTTTTTTTAAATAAAAATGCTCTTGTGTTTTTCACTTCCAAACTCTGACCCCTTATGATGTACTTTTGTCAGTGTGGGAGTGGGGTGGGAAGTTGGGGAAGGGTATGTCCCTCCTGGAGAAATTCATTAGAAGACCTCCATCTAGTTCAAATGTTATCTGAATGCAGCACAGCATTGATGTTGAAGCACTCCCGGTCTCTGCCTACCCTTCCCTTTTGCCTTCACAGAAAAAAAAAAAAAGACCTTCTTGAGAACTCCCCAGGCTGAGTTCTTGAGTCACAGAAAGTCCCAGTGTCTCAGAAGGTTTGTGCTCAGCTCCCCCTGCAGTCTCAGTCACTGTGTCACTCACAGCACAGAAGTACACAGCAGAGTCGCTCCAGTGGGCTGAGTGTTTCTTCAGGTTAAAAGAGGTTTCATCCTTCCTAAATTCAGCTTCAAAATCTTTTATGCCTTTAACCAGGGTGTTCCCTGAAAAGTACTTGAGGACAAGCTCGAGTCCTTGGTTGGGGCACTGCAGGTACCAGTAGAGGTACGGTGAAGTAGAAGAAGAATATTTGCATCTCAGCTCTAGTGGGGCTCCTTCAGAGACAGTGACATGGCCATCAGGTTGGGTCGCTGACTGCGCTCCGGTTCCTCCTGAAACATCAATGCCGTATAAGTAAAAGCGAACTTGGCCCCGAAGAAAAGGTGTCTCTATTCAGTTTCCAATGAGCACATGCTCACTATTGTGCAAATAGGAAAGGGAATGGAGTGTTACTTACTCAGGGCAAAAATCACCTCAAGCACAGGGATGAGTAGCAGGACCATGGCTAAGCAGTGGGAGGGCTGCAGGCTCCGGAGCAGGTAAGACAAGAGCTGAGGTCACTGAGCCTTCGGAGGCTACGCTGGCTAAGCCCCTTGCCTTGACAAGGCTTTCTTTTACTGAATTTGGATCTTTTCTGGCCTCTTATTCTCGTTACAGGTTCCTATCTACTCAGACATCAGTGAGGACACAACAGCCAGCTGCAGGGAGGAGGGGCTAAGACATGGTGATGATTTCCAACAAAAATAAATGTCTTACCTGTGTAACATCGCCCTCTGGAGGCCAGAGGCAAGACCAAAGATTCAAGAGAGCTGTGTTTCCTTCTCATTTCAGAGATGAGATGCCAAAGCTGCAGCATGTGTTTCTTCCTTCCTGAATCTGTGATGATGTCACCTTCTGTAGTAAGAGATGTTAGTCCTAAAATAAATGAGAAATGGGAGTTAAGTAAAAATCAAAGAGTAACTTACCTCATTGATAAACTAGTCACAGAAGACAATACTCTAGACTTTAGAATACTGTTGGGAAACTATATTATATTTTAAAGCCATTCATCAGGTAGAAAGACCAAGATCAACTAACTATTGCCTCAATTGAGCTGAGCTTCATATGGTCTTACGCTGCTGGATGCAAGCATCAAAGTGTGGGAAAGAGATTACTCCTTAATTTGGTGTTAAAAAGAAGAAAAATGACATCAGACCAGAGGCCCATACTTAAAATCAGCCTGGAACATATCTCATTAATTATTTAATCAATGCAAATGAATAAAGGCCATAATTTTCAGCCCTATTCGGTTTGGCTCAGTGGATAGAGGGTCAGCCTGCAGACAAAGAGACCCGGGTTCGATTCCGGTAAAGAGCGGGTAACTTGGTTGAAGGCTCCTCCCTGGCCCAAGCCCTGGTCAGGGCACATGCAGGAGGCAACCAATCAGTGTGTTTCACATCGATGTCTCTCTCTGTCTTTTCCTCTCGCTTCCACTCTTCCTAAAAATCAATGGAAAAATATCTTCAATTGAGGATTAACAAAATAAACACATTAAATAAAATGGCATGAAAATGTCTTTGTCCCTTTTGCCCTTAATCCTTCTACACACAAATATTCAATGTGATTATAAATTACTAGTCAGGGCACATGCAGGAGGCAACCAATCAGTGTGTTTCACATCGATGTCTCTCTCTGTCTTTCCCTCTCACTTCGACCCTCCCTAAAAATCAATGGAAAAATATCGTCAATTGAGGATTAACAAAATAAACAAATTAAATAAAATAGCATGAAAATGTCTTTGTCCCTTTTGCTCTTTATCCTTCTACACACAAATATTTAATGTGATTAGAAATTACTAGTAAAAAGCAGAGTTACAGTTACTAGGATGGTCACACCAATTTTGCTGGAGAAAGAGCAAGAACCCTGGCACCTGGGGTGGGAAAACCTTGGACCCAGCAGGGCGAGGGGATAAATGCTCTGTGTATGGTCTGCTGGAGCCAAGCAACAGCTGCAGTTGGCAATCTGACTTGCTCTGGTTTGTTATCCTCTTCTACATTCTATGAAAACAGAAAATCTCCTATTAATGTGGCCTGTCCTGAACTATTCTGCTGTGCCTGACACCATCAATGGAAGCTTCCCAACAGGGATTCCCATTCCCATTTGTATACAAACACATAAATCACCACAACCTTGTTTCAGTTTAACTGGTACAAACACTAGTATATACGCTGCTGGTGTCTAAGCAGTCTTGAGCTATGTACCATGAATGACTGTAAAGGTTGGAAATACTCAGAAATGCTGCTCCTATAGCGTAACCAAATTGATGTAATTCTTATTCTAATCAAGTTCAACAATAAATCCCGAACTGGATTCACCTATGCCTTTTCAGATTATATGTTTACGTCTGGGGAGACAGAATATCTCTCCATTTGAAAAGGTGGTTGCTTTTTGGTCGTTTTTGGCAATCAAACCAAAGATTGGTGCGCCAAATTACTTTGCAAGGACCATAATGATTATTATGCTAGATCCTAAATGTTTACATCCTGGGACTTATTCACAGTTGACGAATTCTGAGATACTAGGAGGCATGATTAAATTAATGCTGCAGATTGATCTCATCTTGCTGATTAGAGTCTCCGAATAGTAGCTTTAATTAAATGTGGTTTGAGACTAATAGGATGGATCTAGTCTCAGTCTCTGTCAGTCAGATTAATCAGAATAGCTGACGAAGTTTCATACTCACAAAACTTTCTAGAAACTAGCAAAATGTAGGACCCTGGAGTAGATTGTGCGTCTCTCGTGCTCCTATGTGCTTGCTGGGTATGGCAATAATGTAAGGCCATGTCCTCTCAACCTGTAACCATTTCTCAGGGTTGTGCTTGCAACAAGCAACACTGAGGGATGAGGTAATGTCTTCTCTGAGACAAAGAGCAAGCTGACTACTTGCTAAAGAAAATGCAGTGAATTCCCTAAGCTCAGTGTTTCTCAGCTATGACACAATCCTGCTGCACTAATACTATCCATCTGTACCCATTATACCACCCCATGAGACTTAAGGGCAAATGATACATGCTGATGGTCATGCTCCCTGCTATGCCATCTACACTAATAAAAGAGAAACATGGTAATTAGCGTACGACCGCTACCCTTTTCATTGGCTAATCAGTGAGTATATGCAAATTAACTGTCAGCCAAGATGGCGGCCGGCAGCCAGGCAGCTGGAAGCGAACATGAGGCTTGCTTGCTGCAGTGAAGGAGGACTCCAACGTTCCCCGCCTGCGCTGCCGGCCTCTGAGCTACAACTCTAAGCAACTATGTACTATGTTGCAAATAAGAAGATAAACAAAACCCCAGAAACCGGCTTTCATTCAGCCGGGCTTTAGCAACATTGTATCGATGTTTTCAGCAGTGAGGCCTCAGAGCTAAAGCTGGCCCAGAATAAAGAAGAAAAAAAAAGAAAACAAGGAGCGGTTGGGAGATTCAGTCACTCGCTTCGGAAAAACAGCCCTCAGCCCCTCACCCAGACTGGCCAGGCACCCCAGTGGGGACCCCCACCCTGATCCAGGACACCCTTCAGGGCAAACCAGCCGGCCCCTACCCATGCACCAGGCCTCTATCCTATATAGTAAAAGGGTAATATGCCTCCCAGCACCGGGATCAGTGGAGCAGCGAGGCTCCCGGCACCGGGATCAGCGTGACAGGGGGCAGCGCCCAAACCCCCTTATCGCCCTCTGTGTGTGACAGAGGGCGGGGCCACAACCTCCTTATCTGCCCTGCTCTGTGCCTGATAGGGAGGAGCTCCCCAATCCCCTGATTGCCCCGCAGCTCTGTGTTTGACAGGGTGCAGCGCACCAACCCCCTGATCCGCCCTGCTCTGTGTGTGACGGGGTGGTGCCCCAACTCCCCTATCGGCCCTACTCTGTGAGTGACAGGGGGGAACTCCTCAACCCCCTGATGGGCCCTGCTCTGTGTGTGACAGGGTACGGAGCCCCCAACACCCCTGATGGGCCCTGCTCTGTGCGTGACAGGGGGCAGCGCCCCAACCCCCTGATTGGCCCTGCTCTGTGCATGACAGGGGGTGGCGCCGCAACCTCCCCATCGACCCTGCCTTGAGTGTGACACGGGGCGGTGCCCCAACCCCCCAATCTGCCCTACCCTGAGCGTGACTGAGGGTGGCATCGCAACCTCCCGATCCGCCCTGCTCTGTGCATGATGGGGCGGCGCCCCAACTCCCCAATTGGCCCTGCTCTGAGCCTGACCAGGGGCTGCACTTAGGAATTCGGCCTGCCCTCTGCCACCCAGGAGCAGGCCTAAGCCAGCAGGTCGTTATCTCCCGAGGGGTCCCAGACTGCGAGAGGGCACAGGCCGGGCTGGGGGACCCCCACTCCCTCCCCCCAGTGCACAAATTTTTGTGCACCGGGCCTCTAGTCCTATATAATAAAAGCGTAATATGCTAAGTGTCTGAACAATCGGTCAACTGTTCAGTCGACCATTCGACCAGTCACTATGATGTGCACTGACCACCAGAGGGCAGATGTTCCAACTGGTAGGTTAGCTTGCTGTTGGGGTCTGGCCCATGGGGACTGGGCAAGAGGGCCGGACATGCCCTGGAGCCCTCCTGAGGTCCCTCCTCGGCCGGCCGGCCCCCATCGGCCCAGATCACTGGCCAGGCTGAGGGACCCCACCGTGCAAGAATTTGTGAACCGGGCCTCTATTAAGTAATAAAAGTTTTTGTCTCTGACCCAGGAGTCTTGTATCTTTACTGACAGCACCAAAGAAACAACAATTTATTATCTTGTAAGAAGGGCAAGATCAGAGACCTAATAAGTCTGATACTTTTATAGATACTACAATAAAGACTCTTGAGAAATATAAGTTTTCCAAAACTGGTCCAGAATGAGCCTTTTTTGAAGGATGTAATGTCTAGACCCATATGAGATTTAACTATCATTTCTAAATTAAATGCTTGAGCAATTTTCTGATATACATTAATGAAATAAAGACTACTGGAAAATTAGTGTTACATACTTAAATTACTATTAATTGTGTAAGGAACCTGATAACCAGTAGATAGACAATCAAAAGTAGAATAATTATGAACTAGTCCTCGGACCATAATAATGATCTTTAATCCAACTTAAAAAAGTCGAATCTCCTATAAACTGTCTCTACCAAGGCTAATTATTTAAATATGTTTACTGAGGGGATTTTCTTTTGCAGTAATCCTATATAATAAAGGGCTAATATGCAAATTGTCCTCTCGGGAGTTCAACTGGCAGACCAGGAGTTCGATCGCTCACTATGATGTGCACTGACCACCAGGGGGCAGCACGGAACATGGCAAGCGACCAGCAGCAGCGGGCACTGAGGGAGAGAGGGAAGGAGGAGGCGGGGAGGCTGGGAGATGGGGAACTGCATGATGGCGGTGCATGGGCAGTGAGGAAAGGGGAGGCCAGGAGGCAGAGAACCTGATCGGCCCTGATTGCAGGCCAGGCCTAGGGACCCTACCTGCGCACGAATTTTGTGCACTGGGCCTCTAGTTTGAAATAAAACATTGACATGTGCTCATAATTATTTTACTTGAAGTTACTTTTATACTTTTCAAAGTCTT